TAACTGCTTGAATAAATAACATAACAACATATCCTGAAAAGAGAGGAAAGACGGGGGCAGGTAGTATTGACTAAAGGACAGTTGTAAATGACAAGAGGAGGGACGTCTACCTTTGTAGGTGGCTGTGGCCTTGTGTAAACTAGATCAGAGCTGATAAACACATGCCACCATCAGATCTATATTGACCTGAAAAATTTTAAACTATGGAAATTAAAACAAATGAGTACTATTTTATGTGGTAAGAAATGTAAGTATCAGTAACTGAAATGACTGAAAAAATTACATGGATCACATGTTAAATTTTCCCTGAACTTATAAAAACATTCTCAAATTTTTTGAACAGACCATAAAAATATTTCATTCATCTGAAATCCTCCTTTGCCATAAGACAGATATTTAAGCTGCTTTCCTGATTTATGTGAAGTTACTAAAAGTGGTATCAGGTATAACCATGACACTGCATGAATCGTTTCTCACGATAGCATCTCTCCCATCTTTCCATCAAGATGATGATTAGGGGAAAGAATGTTAAAAGCCAGAGATGGTCCTGGACAGATAACTCTCATGAAGTATTTAAAGAGTTTAAACACCACCTAATGAGTTTAAAAGTAGGTTATTTGAAGGAAGTAGTTTGCACTGGGTGAAATGCAGAATAATCCTTACAAAGAATGGCTTCTAGAACTGATACACAAAATTGCCAGACTACCTGGCATAGCAATATAGGGCTCATGCTCTAACATTACCTTTCCGAGAACATCAGAGGATGGTTACCTGCTCAGATGACTATGCCTGCTGAGTGCTGCAGCTAAACTTACTATCCTGTGGTATTATTTTCACCACTGTGGGCATCAAAGAGGATTACTCCTGCCAGAGCACAGGAATGAATGATCACGTTTGGGTTTGGAGGAATATCTTCCTCTGTACTCCCATATAATATTAAGAATTGTCTGGCCCTGAATTTACTGAAATTCTGATCATACCTAATTGAAATTGACATGGCAGTTTGAGTTAAATTTATTTTCTGCCCTTTCAAGGGAGACAGATTTTTTGTTTCTGTTTATTTAAACTGCTGTTGAAATTGGTTAATTAAAAGGATTTAAAAAATCTTAATACTCTAAACAGAACAAACCGGTTCTGAATTATTAAGCAACATTTTAGATGCATTTAAATAACCTTAAGTGACTTAACTGCCACCTGATCCTAAGCTGTGGCTCAGAAAAATAAAATGTGAAATACTGTAGAAGTCTTGGCTTACCAGGGCTTCCAGATACAGTAAATAAAGAGCTTAAGTCTCTTAATACCGTGTCTGCAAAAGGCATACTCTCAAATACATAGCTAATACTCCACCTTAAGGAGAAATGAGCAGAAGAAATTGTAGATTGCAATTTGATTTTTCAGAAGAAATTAATAAATTCAGTCTTTCAAAAACAGTCTTTCAAAAGAGAGAGCATGCCGGGACCTCCCTTTCTGACAGATACTATAAAACGCTCACAAACGTATCATTAACCCTAGCAGGGTGGCTGACACCAGTTTGGGTAAATCTGTTCTGCACATAGAGTTTCAGCTAGACATGGTACAGCTTCAGCTTCTTGCCTGAAGCGTGGTGAAACGCCCAGTCCCTAAGACAGTAAAGAGCTTTTGGAAGATTGCTGCAGATCACCACCAGAGGAGGAGGTCAGGAACTGATCAGCGGGGAAGTCTCCAGGGTACTGGGAGAAGGTGGATCTTGCCGCTGGCAGGCTGGGAGGACCACTGAAATTAGTGTTGACGAAGGCTTTTAAGAGAAAGGGACTTAGAAGAAATACTGAATGAGAAGGTTGACAGAGCATGCTAATATGCTCAGGGTAAGCTCTTTTTGTTATAGTTAAATGCATTTTGAAGATTAGAGCAATTCTTGGAAGAAAAGGAACTATATAATTCTAAAATCAGCACATACATTGAAATAGCGCACACATTTGCTTCCGTAAAGCCTTTGCAGGTGCATTTAAGAATAATGCAAAGAGCTTATAATACAGCTTTTCACTCCGAAAGATGTGCTTGCCAAACGTTTTCAAAGTTAGAGGTACAAGTTACCTGCTGACCCAGGTTCACCCGTGTGATACACACTTGGCGGTACGGTAGGTAGTGCTGCCTTGGTTAAGGTACTCAGGGAGGAGGCGGTTAATATCTAATTTCAGCGCTAGTAGAAAGAACAACACAGTTGGTGACAAAGACCCAATAACAAGTCACTGCATGTGCTTAACTGCTTTGGAATGTCACTGCTGCTTTAAAATCTACAAGTAGTGTCTGGAAAAGGTTAATCTGTGTATTTACTCATGTGTAGAAGTTTGTATTTACAGTAGGGTTATGATACGAACTTTAAGTTAGCTAAGGATATCTGTGTAAGCAACTGGAACATAGAACTAAGAACTAATGAATTTTTATTTACCAAAGAAGTAAAAATACTTCAACAATACTGTATCAGGACTGATGGCTTTGAAAAGCAGGTAAAAATGCTCTAACAAGTTTATTACAAGAAAATGCTGATTTGGTTGAAGATAATCCCCTCGTTTTGAGAAGACAGAAACGCTTTTGGGGGTGTGTGTGTTATTGTAATACAGATTAGGTTAGAAGAAAAAAATACTAACTTGAGAAGACATGTTTTCATCTTACTGCAGCAAAAACTCCAGCAAAGTAATTCTGATACTTTCAAACATATTTTTTCAAAAACGTTATGAGCAGTTTAAATACAACCAGGCATTTTAAATGCTATTGTCTTCTGGAGCACAAGCATCCCAAGTGCTCCGTTCTTGTTGCACAGATTTCAATGGATGTTTGTGATACGTATCATATAGCAGAAGGGTCTTGACAACTTACAGTGTATTTTTTAGAGACTATATACCATGAAGCCTAAGGCAATGAATATATACTTTTACCATACTTCCAAGGCATTCATCAATGACTACTTTTTTTTTTTTTTTTTTAAATTTGTCTATGGAGTTGCACACTTCCAACTTTCCGAACCTGGGGAACATGGTAGATGTCATTTATAGTTCTCAATGGTTAGCAAACCCCTGGGGATTATTTTTTGTCTGTTGTAGCTCTGGTGGTCACAATGGCAACCGGACTCATACACAGCCACTGAGTCAATGGCATGAATCATTTATGTGACTCTTCATACACGGCATTATTAGGTTGGAATCACAGAAAAAAGATGACAGGGTCTTTGCTTCCCATGCAACAGACCAACAGCTCCGTATCCTGCCACTAAATTCTCCTTTCTTTGCCTCAGTGTTTTCTCCCTGGCAGTTTCACAAATGTACTGAAAATACCAGCCTGGTCTAATTTAGTGGTCTTTTTTTCTTTTCTGCTCCTTTTTAAATTTGTTCTTATGTGTGTCGTCTGACGAATTTTTGAGTTTGTTACAGAGGACTAAAATCAATAATGATGATGATGTGATTAAGTAAAGAAACAGCCAGTCTAAAGTGCAAAACAAATGTAAAAAGTTAGAGTAATATATGTTACATAATATGTTACAGGTAGGGAGGTATGACTTGCTGAATATTTAAAATATACAAAAACGTTGTTTAGACTGTAAAAGATTGGGGTTTTTTTCTGTCAAGTAAAGTGAACGATCATTAATCCTGGAAACAGATGACTTCTAGTCCTTGGTTCCACTGGAAATGATATTACATGCTTAAGGAGTAAAGTTAATCAGTGATTAATGAGATCGATTAAATGCTGCTTTTCAGTCTGACTGATTAGGATCCTCAATATAAGACAAGGTGGAAGAAAAGCTGTAAGCACACAATCCTGTTCACAGGGTTATGCCAAAAATTGGTCAGAAATCACATCCACTCTCAAGGTCGTATGCTTGCTAAGGACATTATTTTCTTCCCCTTTGGAGTACTTGCGACCCTTTGGAGTACTTACAAATAAGATGATAAAGCAAGAGGTATCTGTTACAAAACAGTACTGTAAGCACACTAATCAGAGCCTTATTCCTAGTGAACTTCCTCCAGGGGCAGTGATGGGAAACAAAATGGAAAAGCAACCCAAGTTACTGAGCTCCTTTGATGAAAAATGGCTTAACCAGTCACCTGGAGGTGCCCCCAGCAAACAGAACTGCGGCTGATCCAGAGCTGCCCCCATTCGTTGGCGGTACTGAGGCAGTACGGCCAAAAAGCTGCTGAACTTCACCCATCGCTGCTTGGCTCTGTATTGTCACCTCTGTAGTGCCTGTTACCTTTGCCTTTTATGCAGGGCCCAAGGTCATTGCTGCACCGTTGGACCCACTGACTTTTACCTTTGCTGTAACAACGGCTAAATAAGAACTGAAAGTTAATTTGTAATAGAGCAGAAAACAGACAGGTAGATTTTCAAAGAAACTTAGTAACGAGCACATAAATATCTGTTGATAAATCAACAGAATTTGATTGGCTTTTGTAAGCAGTAAGCAGTATTGATTTTGAAAATTGGTCACAGCAGGTACATCGTTAGAATTTCGAGGAAGGAGATATAAATGATTATTTACTATGTAACAGGTGAATGAGTAATTTATTAGAATGTACTGATTAGCTCATAACTGTATACTCTCTGACACTGAGCCTTCCTTGCTCATAACATAAAATTACATCAGAAAGGCAAAACCAGAAAAAAATCAGAAGCACCAGCCCATAACAGCGTACTAATATCAATGCGGCTTCCTTCAAAACAGGCCATGAGCGATGCCGGCTCAGCATATTCGGGCAGTTTTCATGGAATATGGTCCACAACTTGTTTGTTTCAGAAACGGAGGATTTTTTACAACATCACTGGAAACAGATTTCGCAACGCAATTTTCTATGTAACATATGACAGCATTGGTAGGTTAGCACCTGGCTTGCTTACAGCCACAGAGCTTGGCAGCACTCTAACCTATTCAGGCATATCTTTTACCTTCTATGCTATAACATACTGGTCATCTAACATACAGGTGTAAGAAGTAGTGGTATTTATTCCTGAAAGGTACATTTACTCACATCTCTCCTCGGAAAGGTGCCCAACAGCTTGTACTCCTCCCAAGGATATCCCTTGGAAGCTACAAAATCAAAGACAACCTGCAGCTTGCTGCTGGCCAGGAAACGTCGCTCAAAGAATTCTCCGCTGGGTGTCCGAATACGCAGTTTACTGACGGACTCCGTGCTCTCCTCTTTCGGTTCAGGAGGCAAAGATTGCTCAAGAGAGAGCCTGATAGCCTGAGGAAGGAAAAATAACCATTTAGGTTGCAGTGCTAGCAACAGAAGAAAAGGACAGAAAGCTTTTCTTTTTATTTCTTCTAGAACTTCAAGATGTGCCACAGTGCTCCAGAGCCATAGCTGTGCTTTATATCTCAATGACAAAATCATTTTTATTCATTCCTTAATAACAGCCCACCAGACAACTAATTAAAATAAATCCTTCTTTATAACACATATTATTAGGTCTACAGTTAATGCACGATGGGGATAAGTAATTTAATCATTTGGCAGAAAGCCTTGGAAAAAATTTGAATGAGAGAATAATTGTCAAGTGGCCAATTGCTTCCTTAAAGGGTATAAATTAAAAGGCAGTAAAAGTATTTCTTTAAATTCATTTATCAAATTGCCTTCCTCTTGCACAGAGTAATTGACCATTTGCAGCAAAAACAAGACCCTTAGTGGCAGTTCAGAGTACAAGGAAATATACGCAGGAGATTTACTAAATAAACTAAAACACTGTTGAAAGACATAATTAAAAATACCGTGAAGGTACATTAGGCACATATAAAAGTAGGAATGGTCCAAGAAGAAAACTGGGAGGACAGAAATGGGAACTTTAAGATTTAAAGCAAGCCATTATTATTATTATTTGCAGGAAGATGGCTCCAAGCACAGGTGTGCACATTTTCTGCAACAACTTGCATGAAATCAGTCCCAAAATTGCAACGCCATTACACACCTGAAAATGTGTGTGCTTGCCTTCCTCAAGCACAGGTGTGCACATTTTCTGCAACAACTTGCATGAAATCAGTCCCAAAATTGCAACGCCATTACACACCTGAAAATGTGTGTGCTTGCCGTCCTGCTGACATTGTGCATACAGCTGATGCCAAGATTTTACAGGCAGGAGCCCAGTCTGCGCTCTCTGTCCTCTGCCTCTGGGAGCTACTACAACACTAATACTTTGATCAGAAGGGGTTTTTTTAAATTGATGCCTAATATTAGACTGCTGAACGAGGTGGGCTTGATTTTCGAGGGTACTGAGCGCTATCGGTACTCATTGGCATCTGTTAAAAATAAGATCACGCTTAGAAAGCAGCCTTGTTACAGCATCACCTCACTTGAGGCAGCAGTTAACGAGAATGTCAATAAATGGAAGAAGCAGCATGATCACGCTGCCTCCCCCAAAATATGCCTAAAAGACAATTTTCCAAACTGAAGAGGCAGTCAGGCATGGATTTACCCAGATTTTCAAGGAACTTTCAAGATACACAGTTGCTGTTTGCGCCTTTGAAAACCTCCCCAAGGTCATTTAGTAACAGAAACCGATGGAGGATGATTACATTAAAGAGAAAGGACTGGGCAGAAGCAAGATTACGAAGGCTTTTAAATAGTCTACTTCTTACACACGAACCTCTGAGCAAATTATATCTCAGTATAAATATTTATACATAGAACTTGAGTTCATTTTTGCTCATCTACTATGAGATTATATTTTAAATAGATTCTATTTTAATTTTCTCTCTGAACCACCTGCTTACTATCTTTCTGTTTTGACATTTCCCCACACAGTATAACAACAGATGCTACATTATTTACTGAACCCAATCAATTATATTACAGAAAAATAAACAACAGTAGCTCATTAGAGCTCTTTTCTTTGTGCAAAGAGTGCGTCGCTCCCCAAAGTAACTCGTCTCCAAGGCTTGAACATAAAATGGCAATTTACAATGGATATTCTGTACCAGCAAACCAAGTCAGAAAACAATGCTGAGACGGATCACATTAATAACTCTTGGACCTGAACAAGCAATTTCAGTCTGTTGATAAAAAGATGTTCAGTATGTGAATAGCTCAATAGTCAGATTTTAAATAGACGAACTGAACATAAAGCCACTTCTGTAAGTAAACACTGTTGCAGAACAATTCAGTATAAGTAATCTGTACACTTGAAAATGGGGAGTGTTAGTAAACATTATTGTTAAAATCCCTTTTGTTCTACTAAGCAAACAGATCCTATTATTTTCATTACTGCAGTCTACATTAAAACAGGGAAGCCCAGGTATATTTTGATAACATGGACCAGTCTTGCAGCCTTTGCATAAGAAAACAATTTCCAAAAGGCCAAGGTATCAGGAAAGGTTCAGGAGCAGATATAACAAAGCAGAATTAATTATTGTTTCTATGCGTGCGAAATTACTTAAGAAAACCATACTTCTTACTTGAATCTGAGTGTGAGCTGATTGCTCAATAGTCTGTTACTGCTACAGTACTGATTTATGTTCGATTGCTGTTAACCATCTTACGATTATTCTTGACACAATTCTCACAGTCCAGTTTTGTCACTACTCCTTCAGTTGTGTTTTAGCTCCCATTATTGGCTTATGCTAAGAACAGGAGCTAAATAAGTCACCAGATACTGTAGGATAAGAAAGAAGTGGACTGCATCTTTCCCAAACCTCTAAATACTACTGTTTGGACTGAGTTTAGTATTTACAACGCAGTACTGTTTAAAAGTTTCTTGAATGCTTAAATGGTTCAGGTCTTTTAATGCAATTATCTTGGTCATAATATATATATGCAAATGCATTGCTCATACAGTTTGTTTACTGGTTTTATCTCCGGGAATAATAAATGTGTTCATAGCCAACTTTTTTGCAGTTGTATAATGCAATTTTTTCACACATCAGCAAAGTACACAAGACTGAAATGTCAAGTATACATTTAAGTCACGTGTAGGGGGGGAATAAGCAAGGCTGTGGTTTATCAGGATTCCATGAGTTCCAAGGACTTTAACTAAGTGGAGAATTAAATGAGAATATAATTCCAAATTTCAAATCTCCATAATCCATGAGAGTCAAAGCAAAGAAGTTATATTAAGTCCACTAAAAATATTGGAACTCTGATATTTTATATAAATGTATAAATATTTTTAATATTAATATTTTATTTATATTTGATATAATACTGGAAACATACTCAGGAAATATATGTTCAATAGGGATGCTGATATAGCTTTGTATTCATTAGCAACTTGCTCACAGAATCTTATATGCCTAGAAGTCAAAGGACAACCCCCAATCAACTGTGATTTCAGTCAAGACATTTACATGTGAATATCACTTTTCTTTTGAAAGTCCTTTTCAAGTATCAGCTGTGTTTCACAGCAGTTCTGTAAGGACTTCTATTTCAAGAACTTCACAGAACAGATGGAAATATTTTAATGGCTAGTCCATTTTACCTATCCTTTGAAATGTGGTGGGACTTCAGGGGAAGAAACATGGATGGATCCCAGCCCTTTTACCATATTTTGTATTTGCCGGGAGGTGAAAAAGAGGAACTCACTAATACAAGTATAATTCCTCTACATGAGGCTTTATGTAAATACCTACCTAGACACACAGCTAGGACAGGACCTAGCCTAGATCCTGAAAGAGGCTGCAGGAGCCATCTCTGACAGGCACTGGGCCTCTCAGAATCTACAAAATTAAGAGAATCTACAACATAACAGAGTTTGAGGAACAGTACTCTTCACAGCACAGGGTTTCTATTTTCTTATATAGGCCTAGAGATGTAAGGTGTTCATTTAAACACAATTTTCATTCTAAGGAAGATTCTGTAGAAGACTGTTTAGAAATTCTAAAATGTACCATAAATCAAATATTCTAGATTTTGGATTTTTTTTTACTTAAAATTTTTTTTTAAAAAGTGTTGTGTCTCCAAAATGAAATTTGGCAATTTGTTTGATCAGATTTGCAGCTCAGCTTTGTGCTACTTCCTGGAACAAATGAAAGGGCTCCGTGGTATCATATTTTTAAAAGGAGTGCCTGCAGAAACAAGGTTAGAGGTTCCTAAAGATTCCACCATTTGTGGAGCTCGTTTCATGGATCTCCTGTTAGCAGGCCTATCTAACATCTCAACCCGGATGATGTAATTGTGACCCAGATGATAGAACAGAAAAGCTATTAAACAGTGGATGAAAATGATTTAGCTGCACTATGTTTTTTAGATATATGTGGTAAGACACTCATTTTAAAAAAATTGATGTTTACATAAAAAGTATACTTTGAATTAAAGTTGCAATGTGTATTGAATGAAAGTCGCAATGTCCATAACCTTCACGAATCCAAAAAGTTGTCAGAAAAGGTAAAACATCCCACCTCACGTTCTTCCTCCTGTTCTTTCCGAATCTGTTCCAAGCGAAACTGTTCTGCCATTTCTCTCTCTTGCGCTTCCCTCTAATGAACACAAACAGTAATCACACATGTATCACCTCACTTGCCACAGCTGTGTTTAATGATGTGCATTAGCTATATAAAAGCAAAGAAACTTCTCAACTTTTCTGTAGAAATTAATATAAGAAATAGGATATTTATTAAGTGATCTTTTCCTATCACTCCTTTCCCAACTTCTATTATTAAGTGGGGCCAGGACTGCTTTAGCAAAAAGATGTAGTCAAGTCTACTCCTAGTGACTGTATCTAGTGCCATTTTATAACCACTGAGGGCAGTAATGGCTCCTACAGCAACCGCCTCATCATAAGAGCAGAACTGAAGGTGGGCAGTCCTCTGCACCAGAGGGATTTCACCAACGGTGGAGAGATTTCCGTCCCAACATTCATGTGATCACTTCACCCTGCACGCACCTTTGCTCTGTCAGCCTCCAGTGATATGCGGTATGCCTCATCCTGCTCTCTTTTCACATTTTCTCTGGCTTCACGTTCATCCTAAAGAGAAAAAAGAAAGAAGAGGAGAAGAGGAGAAGAGGAGAAGAGGAGAAGAGGAGAAGAGGAGAGAAGAGAGAGAGGAAAACAAAAAATATCAGCAAACAGTGGACCAGTATTTTATATATCTTTATGTTCACCAGCACTCTTTAACCCCAGTGACTTAAAAATATTTGACTGCCTTACTCATCTAACTACTGCTAGGAGAAATTATTTCGGAAATGCCTCAAGGGCGACCTTGGCTTTAAAAATTACGACTTACCTAAAGCTATGTTTCAATTGCCTTGTAACAGATTGGGGTGTCCAAGCCCCGGTTTGGGGGCTGGACCTGGCAGCAAGGCTCTTTGCCCTGCCATCTTTCCCAGGGCCGTGGCTGGTGCAGACTCCAGGAACGGTGCAGCCTCCTCCCACGCCAGCCACGTGGGGAGAGGATCCTGGGAGGGCTACGTGTGGGCTGGTGCTGGGGAGGATCTCACAGGGATCTCGCTCCCGCAGCCGACAATTTGGACGGTCTTGTAATAGGGAAGGACAGGCTGAGGTTTAAAGGATGAGGCTGGATTTTAATTTGCTCTGTGCTCAGACTGGCAGCAGTTAATGACTTGTCCTGCGAGAGAAGGCCTGCTCCCAGGTCATTCCTTGGTAAAAACACCCTCAGTAGGATCCATCCAGGGTCCTGACTATTAAACATCATCCCAAGGCCTCACTTCACATTGTGCTGAATATTATACAAAGACGGGAAAGTAGCAAGTCCTGCTCTGAATTGTCTCAAATACACAGATACAGGCAGACAAGAAATATGAGGTTAGCATGCCAACTTCAAACCAGCAAACCTAGCAAAGTATCTTATTAACGATCACAGCATAAAAAATAAAGGGTTTACTAAAAATATGCAAATGACAAAGCGAGGTGTCATCCATACGGTGGAGGATCAAGAAGTGGCTATCCCCGAAAGCCGGAAAAACTGCACTGGGGGGATGTCTGATAAAGCAAAGTGTACAATCAATAGCTTCATACTCTGCCTCTGGAGCCAGACAGTGGCTGCTCCCCTACGCTTACTCCTCTTACCTCTTATAATCCTCCCAGAGCCCTGCAGAAACTGCACTGCTCCCTACAAACATCAGTAAGAGTTAGCTGTGAGACTGCTGGTGGGCTCAGCACGGTCACCTGTAGTTACCAGTAACACAGCACTTGGGCTGCACTTGTGCTGTCCCCTGTATTTCACAGAAATTCAAGTCTACTACCTACTGCTTTTTGAAGAATTATGTTAATTTTTTCATTCATCTGCAAGGTTTATTCCACTTAAAGGCATCATTTTGCAAAGTGATCAATTTTCTCCCCAAAACTTCCCTACTTGGCAAAAACTCAATTCTAAATGGGAGGAGCATAGGTTAGCTGTTACTATCATGTCATGCAAACGTGCCAAGATGTTCCTCAAACAAACATATTAGTGGTTAAAAAGCTCTAAAGTAGCATGCGACCACAAGAGGAAAGGACAAATTGCAGGAAAAGGTATACAACCTCCAGTTGGAAAGTAACAAGATCTTTTTAGAGGAAACTCTTCTTCCTTATAGAAACAGGACCCAAGATTATTCTACAATCAGTGTGTCCTAAATTTCATTCACAGAAGATAGAGAAACCATCACTTTGTTCAGCAAAGCTAAGACATGAGTAGAAGTAATTCTTGCAAAACGTAAAAAGGACAATAACCACCGAATAACCCATTCCCCTCTTGGCTTCTCTGGACCTTGACAAGCCTTAGACGCTATGTTCATGGAATACCTTCAAAAATTACTTCAAACCTGATAGCAGAAAATACCCTACATTAATATTCCATTTCTGAGAAGAGGGGGTGTTGAAATAATTAAAGAGCTCTGATTTTTATGTTATCAAAAAATGAGGAAAGCTTCTTGAATACACAGATGTTTTCCCAACTCTTCTCATAGATGGAACGTAACAGTAAAGGAAAAGGTTTTGTACTACCTATATGGAAACTTTCCATAAGCATACCATAAATTTATCTTAGAATGGTGAGAAACAAAACTATCTTCCCAGACCAGCTTACCAAAGGAAGACAGAGTTCAGGCAATCTGCGAGAGGACAAGCATTTTAAAAAATATTAAGAATTGTTTTGCAGAGAGCCTATTTAGCTTTCATATTTTGCAACTTCATATATCATACACTAACTTCATACACTAACTGAATTTCAGAGGTCACACAAGTCCAATAATGCTTGAGAGAAAACAGAAAGATCAAATGCAACTATCGCAACTACAGGCTCTTTCCTTCATCAAAGATTGCTAGCAATTACCATACAGTTACTTTAGTTCACAAAAAAACCCACACACAAACCCAAACCAAAACCAACCCTCAAAAAGTAAAATTTATAAAAATTCTTAAAGACTCACTCCAAAAATATATACCAATCAGAGTTATAAGAACTTGAGTACTGGCTTTTATTTTACATTTTACAAACTGCCTAGAAAACTCCAGGAACTTATTAGAAGTTACTTTTGATGAACACAGGATTCATTTACCTACAGAGAGCTTTACTGAAGAATTTTTGAAATTGGTTTAATTTATATAATCTGGATGATACCTGCAAAAAATACTGATGCTATAGATTATACAACAAGAATCTAAACATGAATTCCCGGCATTTAAAAAAAAATAATTTCTTTCCTCCCTATTCATCACAGTTATCATCCTCCTAAAAGTGGATTATGAAAAAGATGTCAGGAATGTGAAGAATTACTACGCATGGCTGCCTGGTCCTCACGGAAATACGTGAGCCACATCTGAAAGTAAATGACCGTGCCACCGAGCTTTACACCACATTGAAACAATACTGTTCTTACTGAAACAGACCTTAAAACCAAATCTGGAATCCAGATTTCTTTAGGTAAGAAGGAGATGTAATCCTGAAATGTCCCTTTGTACCTATTTCTGTGTTTTGTTAATACTGCTCACACTCTACAGGAACCACCTCCTCTACAGAGATTATGGCAAAATTGTAACATTCGCTGGTTCCAAGTTACACCTTAGACAAATTTTAAACATTACATACTGCAGTTCCTCTTGTAATGCAGTCTGTTATTTTAGTCATCTCTTCCTCCAGAGAAACCATACAAGGTACGAGGATGACTCAAGTTTACCAAAAGCAACAAAAGAAAATTCATAATGGTGACAGAAAAAGCAGAAGAAAATGTTTTGCAGAGAATCCTTCATTGCACTAAGAAAGAACACATGAAGAAAAATAGTCATACCACTAATAATTAATTTAAAAAATGTTGTAAGTATTATCCATTACCAAAATCTGAGGTAGCTGACAGCTCTCCTGTTAAACCCTACATAAATTGCAGCATCGACTGAAGATCAATAAATGCATCTCCACAACACTTTTGCAATGAAGGTAAAATTGCCATCTTCCTTTTTCAAGAAACCAAGGTGTGAACAGACAACAGCTTATCCCAGGTCACTTAAAAAGCCTTCATCAGAAACGGGGGTTACACTCAGCATTTCTGAATTCCACAGCAGCGACCAAAGGCTGGCGTGAATGTAAACCATCCGCGTCCCAGGGGTTTTGGGCATGAGATGAGGAGACAACTCTCCTTTGCTCTTTAAAGGGAAAAAGTCACAGATCTCTGCTTTCCCATTTTGACAATGCAACACTGGGGGGAACATTCATTCAATGGGAAGTTGGTACTTTAAAAAAAAATTGCATTTATCCCCAGAATATATTCTTCAGGTATAAATTTTCTTTGCTATCATGCATATTACAAAGTCATAACAAAAATAGTAAGCACTTATATTCATGAGATAGTTACAATGGACCAGATAAAACCTTCTATTGAGTAATATCCAGAGCTACAAGACTAAGAAAAACTTACAAATAAGGTTAAGAAGAAATTAGGATAACTCTCTTCAATAATTATTCCCTAAACCATTTCCTGAAGTTACCCCTGAAACACCTAATAGCAGGCATTTTCAGATGCAGGATGATGGAAATGGGGGATTCCCGATTGCATTTAGGAGAGCAATGCCCCCTTTGCCTGCAGATTACACAGGGAAAAAAATACACAATACCTTTGGCTTTTTGGATGGGTTATTTTGCTGGGAAAGTCAGCATTGGCTCTTCTGGCCTTTTTTTTATTTATTGTTGTTGTTTCTGAAGATAGGATTTAATGATGTAACCCCAGGAATCAGCTTTGCACCTGATTTGTCTCAGGGAGATGTGTTATACCTTATTCCCCGTTGCCCTTTGGGATCAGTTTTACTGTGAAGTAAAACCAGACGGGGCAGAACTTGAGAAGATAACCCTGAGGAGAAGACATTTCTCAGAGCATCAGTGAGTAAATGGCTGTTACCAGAAAGACACACACAAAAAAAAAAAAAAAGAGTGTATTTAAAAATGCTGAATGCTTATCTG